AGAGAGAGAGAGAGAGAGAGAGAGAGAGAGAGAGAGAGAGAGAGAGATCTTGCTGCCAGGTCTCCCAGATAGACACTTGCTGCCCTCTAATGGCTCCTGCCTGTGAGTTTCCAGGCGCAGGCCTTCCTTCCTGTAGGGTCTGTGGTGGGGGTTTCCTTCCCTCTGGTTAGCAGGCCCTTTCCCCTACAACTGCTGAAAGAGCCAGCCGTTTCTCATCACAAGGAAAAGATGTCAAAAGTCAAATTGCGCTGATGTGGCTGGCTCAGAGAGAAAAGAGTGGCTCAGAGTTTCATTGTTGTTCCCGAAATAACCCATAGTAGCGTTTGTGTGGCCTCTGCAACCCTGCTGTCTTCAGAAGGGACAGCTCCTCCTGTCTTTCTGCCCTGTTGCAGTTCTTAGCAGTTTCCTATGTTGAGAAAGGAAAGCACACCACTCTGGCAAGAGCCAGCAATTGTCAGCAAGTTGTGCACACAAAGGGGTTTCCTTTTCCTGCCTTGATGGGGGTGGGGGTGGGGGTGGGGCAAGAGCCTTGGACCAGGGTTCCCTCCCTTGACCTTTTCTTAGGATCCTTAAGAACCAACTCCAAAGGCAAACATGGACCTCTGGATAAAAACATCTCCTGAGTGAATACTTGAAGACCTGGAGACACACGTTGGACAGAGTCCAGTTCTGTGTAGAGAGGAACCAAGTACTTAATCAAGGAACAAAGGTTAGAGGTACAGCAGGAAAACCTGGGACACTGGCCTGTTTTGGTAGTTGGGAAGCTTGGCCCCAGATGGAATGGAAACATGTTGAAAGCAGACAGACAAGGTTTTGCTCCTATCAGCTGAGATCTGGCCCCGAGAGAATGGTGCTGTGAAGATACTCTATGACTGTCTGGGAAGAAGGGAGGGTGCAAAAATTACAGCCCTTGAGTTTAGAACGTTATGAGGAGTGAGGCTTCTTGGGGGCAAACATCATTTTGAGATGAAGTGCAAGCATGGACTTTCTTTGACTTTTGTGAAATTGAAGGTTGGTGGTCACGGAGGGATGAGGGTCACCAAGGAGCAAGGGAATTCCGTAGGGAGTTCTGTGTGGGGCTGGCAAACTACTGCTCCCCTCTGGAGGATGGAGAAGGGCTGGGAGAGGTGGAAGTGAAGCTGCTGGACTGGAATTTGAATGAACGGGAATGAGTACCATTTTCACAAGTGGGTTCGTGGTCCACTCCTTCTGATTTTCACTTTGTGGGAAAGGAAAAGAAGCATCTACTTTTTTTTTTTTTTTAAATCTAGAGCTTAGGTTGCAAAAGTCTGCCATTGAGAAATGAGTATAGTTTTGCCCTTTGGCTACTCGACTCTATAGAATCATCTTCACCTCTTTCTTTTTCTCATAATCCTGAACAAGTTTGGAAAAAGTACATTAAGGGTCCAGTATGGTGATGCAGGCCTTTAATCTCAGCACTGGAAAGGCAGAGGTAGGTCGATCTCTGTGTGTTCAATGATAGTCTTATCTATGTAATAAGTTCTGGGGCAGCCAGAAGAAGCAGAGAGATCCTCTGTCAATGCATAACAAAGCAAAACAAAAACCAAACATTAAACCCCAACCAATCAACCAACCAACCAACAAAAAACTTTAGAAAAAAAGCTAAATTTAAAAACAAAAAGTCTTCTTCCTCCTTCTCTCTCTCCCTTCCTTCTTCCTTTTCTTCTTTTTTTCCCTTCCTTCTTTCTTCTGTTCTTTTCCCTACGTTTTTTTTGCTGATAGAACTCACCTGACATCCTGGTTTCTGGTTGCCCTTAAGGGGCTCGCTCATTTGTCTACAGATTGTTAGTATCTTTGGAAGCAGCGAAGAGCCCAGTGTGCAATTCTGTGAGCCTAACAGGGCCCACAGAGTCTTGCTTCTCAGCTGTCAGGGGTTGGTAAGTCAAAGCCAGCTCTTAGTGTCATCTTACTCAGGGGTGTGGAGTGGAGAGAAATAATAAATATCATTTCCATGTTAAGACTTGGATTGTTTAGGATTACCCCCTGCTCCCAAGCCCCAGTTGGAACACGGTATATTGTGGTTCTAGGAAGTGATTTCCATCTTGTTCAGCCAGGGTCCCCTTTGCCTCTCATTGTGTTTTACACAATGCAATTTCAACCCCAGAGATGGAAGTATGTCTCCAAAAGCCGAGTGTGTGCCCAGTGACACTCATTTGCTCTCTGGATTTTTTTTTCTTTTCCATTTTGTTCCCCGAGCTTGTGTACTACTTTTTAGATGAATGAGTACAAGCAGAAGACACTGAGACGCTCTTTTATTTAATTATTATTCTTTGCATGCAGCACTGGGACGGAATCCAGGGCCTTGTGCACGTTAGGCAAGTTCTCTTGCCCCTCTAGACCTGGCGATATCTTTAAATCTCTGAAATATTATGACTCTTGTTTCATTGTTGTAACCATGGCTAGAAGAAGCCAGCAAGATAGAAATATCATGTGTCCTGGTGACAATGGCACCTCACAAGATGCATGCGCCTCCAGGGATGCCTGACACAACAGAGAGCATGACAAATCTCAGGTGCCGCCATTTGTTTGTGTTTGAGAACAGTCTTACTGAACAGCCCAGGCTGAGTTCCTTGTGTCCATCTCTAAACCCCGTTTCTTTGAATTTCCACACTACAGGGTAGGCATGAAATTGATAATGTTGTTGCATGCTGATGATAAAACTCAGGGTCTCTGGCTGGGCAGTGGTGGCTCACACCTTTAGTCCCAGCACTGGGAGGCAGAGCCAGGCAAATCTCTCATTTGGAGGCCAGCCTGGTCTGCAGAGTGAATTCCAGGACAGCCAGGGCTACACAAAGAAACCCTGTCTCCAAAAGTCAAAACAACAACAAACCCTCAGGATCTCACTCACTGGATGCAGAGTGGTTCTCATAGACTCATGTGTTTGAATATTTGGTCCCCGGGTGGTGGCACAGCTTTGTGAGACTCTGAAACTGTTAGGAAGTAGGGCCTAGCTTGATGAAGTCGGGTGAGAAAGCTATGGTCCGCTCCTCCCCTGTCCTCAGTCCTCTTCAATATGCCCAGTTGTGAACAACCTCTACGTGTTCCCACCACCAAGAAGCAGTTAGTTGGCTGCCAAGCCTTCCCAACACAATGGACTGTTTTCTCCAAACTGTGAGACCCAGTAGATACTTCCCTCAGGTTTTGTTCACAGCATCAACAGCAAGACATCTGACAAGCCCTCTGCTCCTGAGCCATACCCCTAAGTCACTGACTGGCGCTTGGTTTTATGTATCTGGGAATGCCATCTGTGATCTCATTCATTCTAGATGAGCACTCTCTGACGAAGCTTGCTCTTGAACTGTGTGTTTCGTAGGGAGTATGCAGGTATGCACATAAAGGGCAGAACGCAGTGGCTTCCTTACTCTTGCTAAAGCGAAGTCTCCATCTCAGCCCTTCTCACATCCTCCTTTCCTCCTTTTGGCAGAGCTGGGGGTGGGACCCATGGTCTTACTTGTGCTTCAGAAATACTCCCCAACTGAGCCGCACCCTCAGCCTGATACATTATTTTTTTTAATGTTTTATAAAGATTTATTATTTGTAATTATGTGTAAAAATAAAAATAAAAAAGATGTGTGCCCGCCTGTCAGTATGTGCACGTGTGTGTAGAAACCCTTGAAGGACAGAGGCATCAGATACCCTGGAGCTGGGGTTGCGGACTATGACCACTTAGTGTGGGTGCTGGAAGCTGGACTTGGGTCCTCTGGGAACTGAACTTGGAGTGCTCTTGAGTGCTGAGTCATCCTGAAAGACCTATTTTTAAATGTTTTTGTGGCTGGGTGGGTACATGTATGAGTGCGTGCATGCTAGCGATGAAGGTCTTGCTGTTTCTGTAGGCTTGTGGGGAAGTTAATAGTCCGATAGACCTAAGCCTCTTTCCTGGTGAACTTGGGAATGTTCTCTGAGAGTGCGTGGATGCAAAACTTAGTATGTCTATCTCAAAGAAGTCAGTAGTTTGTTTTCCTTTCTTCTCTTCTCCCTTCTTTCTGTTAGTATCTGTGGAGATGGAACCCTAGTTCTCCTGTGTGCTCAGCAGGTGCCCGCCTCACAGCCACACTCCCACACCCAATTATTATTATTGTAAATAGAGGCTGGATTCAAAGGACGGAATGGGTCGAAATGTAAACTGGCTTCATCGAAAGCTGCGCTGAAGCTTGTGCTCCGGCGGCGAGAGAAAGAATTTGGGATCAAAGCAGAAAGAGAGGCTTTGTAAGAGAGTTGGGAGTGAGAAAGGAGATCTAGGTCCCTTTGTAGAGAAAGCAGCTCAGATCACAGCCTAGGAGTGTGTGAAAGGGTGAGTCGCTGTGGCAGTGGGTAAGGAAGAGGGAGCCGGGCTGGGATGCCAACTCTACGTGGGGCATCTGGCTGAGAATACACGCCCACAAAACCCAGGCACACCGTGGAGAAACCTGCAGAGAGGCATTTTGGCAGTGAGTGGAAAGGGGGGCCTGCAGGGGCCTCAAACCGGGAACCAGTCCAAAGCCATCAGTCTGCCAAGGAGAGAGAGAGCTTGGAATAACAGCGGGTAAACTCCCGATTAATGAATAAGCTGGGGGCTGGTTCAGGTGAGGGCGCACCTGTGATTTACCTAATCCCTACAAAGCTGAACCCCGAGATCCCTCACGCTCAAAACTGCGGGAAGAAAGCCTGGATTGTGCTGAATAGCCTTGAGGGGAAGGGACTCTGGGAGGGGGAGGCTTAAAAAAGAAAATCTGGCTTGGAGGTGGGGTGGGGCTTGCAAGGTGAGGAGGGCTGCTCTTGATGGGTGGGGCTTGCGGGGGTGGGGTGGAGGTAGGGGAAAGGAGCTGTTCTTGCTCAGGAGCAAAAGTGCCCCTGGAGACAAGAATCAGAATTGCTAAGTTTGGGCACCGAATATAGGCGGAAGTTAACTGACTGATGTATGTCCTTAAAGACAAGATTATCCTCCAGCATAGTGGACTGTCTTGTCTAGTTTTGTTTCCCCTTTGTTGATAACAGTTTCTCAGACTTTTAAAGTGTGATATGCATTCAGAAAAATGCTAGAATCCTATCCATAGAGCTTGCTAAAGGTTCGCAAATGCTCACTGCAAACGCACTCTGCGTCATGTTAATCCCAGCAGGAGCCTATCTCACACCTTTCCTAACTCCAGCGCTTGGCCTACATCACAACCCAGTTCGGTTGCTTTATTCTTCATAACTCTGCTTTCGTTGTCCGCACCTCTGTCCTGAGATCCAGCTTACACATACTAGGCAAGCGCCCCACCACTGAGTTACACCCCCAGCCTGGGGGCGGGCATTAAATTGTGGTACCAGATGCCACAGTTTACTATAAATCGTACTTTTTAAAAGCTATTTAAACACTGTAAATGTTCAGTGTTGTGGCAGAAGTAATTTGACTTTGTATAACCATCACCACACTCTATTTACCCAATCTTTTTTTTCTGACTTCCGGGAGAGGCTCTGTACCCACAAACTCCAATTCCCCATCCCAGCTCCCGGCAGCCACCATTCTATTTCCTGATTCAATGAGTGTGACTACTCCAGGGGCCCCACTTTATGGCAGTCAGAGGACGGAACTCAGGTCGCCAGGCTTAGTGGTAAGCATCTCTATCCACTGAATCATTTTCACCTTTGGAGGACCCTTGTTTGGCTTCCCAGCATCTGTCTTTCCTTGTTCTTCAGAGCTGTGGAACTGTTCAGTTCGTACCCTAGTGTTTGCCTTTCTGGTTTCAGCAACAACTTCCACTTCAAATTGAGTTTGTGAAATTTAGTTTTTGTTGGTGTATGGATGTAACCACCTCTCGTGTGTGTGTGTGTGTGTGTGTGTGTGTGTATTGTAATGCTAGAGGCTTGTAATTGCCAGGGACTTGTACATGCTGGGCAAGTACTCCTTGTGGTGGGCTTAGTTACAGCAAGCACTCTTCTCAGTTTGAAGACCAGCTCAGTACCTTTATAATAGAGTACTTTGGTCAGTTCAGTTATCCAGCTGATAAGCACCTGGACTGATAAGATAATGCATTTCCACACCTCTGAACTCACTTCTGGGAATCCTCCATTCACAACAATCCACCTAAAACAGAAAAATACAATTGGAATCTCCCTTATCACAACCCCTGAATTCCCTGTGGGTTACATTGAATCCTTTTTTTTTTTATTGTATTTTCAGATTCCTGAAAAAGAAAAATAACATATAAACCAGGTAATCTGGTTTAGTTAAGTCCTGTCCTCCATTCTCAACTGATCTTTTTGAAATGTTCCAGGGAGTTCCAGCTTATTGCTCAGCCAAGTAGGGACAGCCTGTCCTAATGTGGTCTGTGGTGGAAACTAACTGCAGGACAGCCAGCACTTCCTCGGAGGAAAGAGATTCTGAATGGAGGAGTTGCTGGTGGTCTCACTGGCCCTCCCTAGGGCCCCTAGCTCATGATGACTAGGCAGGGCAGATGTCCTTCCTGCTCGCTGGAATGTCGGGATTCAATGTGTGCAAGGGAAGAGTGACCGCACACAGCATGTGCAGGAGGAACCTGAGTCCTTTATTTGAATTTTTACTCTGACTCTGGTACCTCAGAGCTTCGGTTTCTCCACTGGTGGAAATAACTTACCTGGAATCTACAAAAAAAAAAAAAGTTTAAAAAAATTCAATGTAATTTCCAGGGTATTTGGATTCTGATTGCTTCAGTGTTCTTTTCCGGCAGATGATGTGGATGGAGTGTTCACTAGAGAAGTGAGTGCAAGAGATGTGGAAATGTGTTATCGTAAACAGCAGTCGGGTCTGTGGTGCAGGCTTGAAGCCTCAGCTACTGCGGAGGCCGAGGCGGGAGGATGAGTGCATGCCTGGACTGCAGAGTCTTAAGTTGTTCTGCCATCTGCTGTCTTTTTTGCCCAAATCCAAACTCTGTGAGTCTTGTTCCAAACACTTTAAGCCATTTGGGAAACGATGAGCTTGGGCTCAAGGATGGTACATGCCTCTCTCTCTCTCTCTCTCTCTCTCTCTCTCTCTCTCTCTCTCTCTCTCTCTCTGTGTGTGTGTGTGTGTGAATGTGCATGTCTGTGTTCATTTGTGTGTGCGAGTGATGTTAGCGCTTGTGTTTTAGTGAGGGGAACAAGCTGCCCAATAAAGGCCAGTAGAAGGAGTAGAAGGTCTTGCCTGTGGCTGGGAAAGAGGTCAGTGTTATCCCGGCTTTGCATTACTGCTACAAACACCTGAGATAAATCCATCTAAGTACAGGAGAGTTCTTTGGGGCTCTGAACCGCTTCCAGAGGTTTCAGTTCAGATGCTGCCCCATTGCTGTGAGTCTATAATGAGGTAGTATTTCCTGGCAGAGAGCATGTGGAGCAAATCGACTCAGCTGATGGGGTATGTGATGGAAAGAGGTTGGAATGGAAGAAGGAAGTGGGGCAGGGTCCCAGTATCTTTCCCAGGAGTATGTACCCATGACCACTGTTAGCATTCTGTCTAAACTCCACCCCCACAGTTACCTGGCAACAGCCAGGTAGGCCTGGCCCACTATAAAAGGGGTTGCTTGCCTCCTCTCTTTCTTGATCTCTTGCTCTTGCCTCTTGCTTCTCCCTGTCCCCTCACCCCTTCCTCCTTCCTTTCCCCCCTCTCCATGTGCTATGGCCGGCCTCTACTTCTCTTCTCTTCTCTTCTCTTCTCTTCTCTTCTCTTCTCTTCTCTTCTCTTCTCTTCTCTTCTCTTCTCTTCTCTTCTCTTC